CAGGCTGATTTGTCGTCTTCCGTGCAACTCAGGATCTTGGTTGGGCATGCACAGACCTGCCTGTCTGCAGCAGGCTGATTCGGTGTGTTCCGGGTGACTGAGGACCTCGGTAGGGCATGGGCAGATCTGCCTGTCTGTAGCGGGGTGATTTGGCATTTTCCACGTGACTCGGGACCTCAGTGGGTCCTGTACTTTATTTTTTAATTCTGTTTCTCTTTTATTTTTAAATTCTATTCAGTTTGTGGGTCTATCCTTTTACCAATAGCATACTGTCTTGACTTTTATAGCTTTAAAATATATTTTAAAATTGTATAGTTTTAGTCCTCTGACAGTATTTTTCTTCTTTAAATTGCTTTGTCCATTCTAGTTCCTTTATTTTCCCATATACATTTCAGAATCAGCTTATCCATATCTACAAAATTTATTGCTGGAATTTCAATTGGGACTGAATTAAATCTGTGTATTGATTTGGAGATAATTGATATCTTTTATTTTGGGGGTAGGGTCTTATTATTATGTCCAGGATAGTCTTGAAATCCTAAGCATAAGAAATTCTGCTTCAGCCTCCCAAGTACCTGAGACATTCCAGATGCGAGGATTGGTAACTACATTGTTTCTTCTGACCCATGAACATGGTATACTTTTCCTTTTATTTAGGTCTTCTTTGGTCTCTTTCATCAGTGTTTTATAAATTTCAGCATGAAATGGCTGTATTTGATTTGTTATATTTATACCTGGCTATGTAAGTTTTAGAATTATTGGAAATGACATTGTTTTTAATTTAGATTGACAAATGTAAATTGCTACTGTATAGAAACATAATACATATTTGTGTGTTGACTTTGTGTGCTGTGAAATTGCTAAACATACTTGTTCTGTTAATTTTTTGAAATTCTTCAGATTTCTACATATACAGTCATATCATCTCCAAATAGGAATAGTTTCATTTTTTTCCTTTACAATTGGAATGCCTTTGATGTCTTTTTCTAGCCTTATTGCATATGTTAGGACTTTCAATACAATATGATATCAAAGTGATAAGAAAGAATGAGTGAAGTGTGGTTAATGGAGTAAAGAACTACCAGTAGGTAGGTAAGTAGTAAAGATGTTATCAGATCAGTTGAGGCTGAAGACCAGAACTTTGTAAGCTTAGTTATGTTATTTGTAATAAACAATACTTATAATCCATTTTCTTATTTTTATGGTAGTTCTCAGCACCTTGGATCTAGGAGTGGAGACAGCAGACAGACTGAATCTGGAGTTTGGGTTTTTACTGGCTAGTAATGGAGTTACTAAGATTAAGATTATTGGCAAAAGAGAAGTTGAAATATCTAGGCTTAAGAAGTGAGTAACCTTATAGACCAGTGGAATAGAACAGAATACATAAGGACAACCCATGCACCTTCAATCACTGATTTTTGACAAAGGGGATAAAAGTATATAGGGGAAAAGATAGCCTCTTTAACAAATGGTGCTGGAAAAAACTGGTTATCCACATGAAGGAGATTGAAACTAGATCCATATCTCTCACCCTATCCTGAAATAAAATAAAAATGGATCAAAGACCTAAATAATAAAAACAGAAACTTTGAAACTGATGGATAGGGTTAACACATGGAGCCAAAGTGTTACTACACCATTTTACATTACCACCAGCAATGTGATGAGGGTTCCAGTTTCTCCACAACCCCAGCAACAATTATCATTGTCTTTTGGATTATAGTCATCCCAGTAGATGGTAAGTGGTATCTCATAGCGGTTTTGATTTGCATTTCCCTAATGACAAATGATGTTGCAAAACTTTCCATGTGTTTAGCAGCAATCTGTGTGTCTTCTTTGGGAAAATGTCTGTTCAGATTCTCTGCTCATTTAAAAAACTGGGTTATTTTTCTTTTCATTTTTGAATTGCAAAGGTGGTTTTTATGTTCTTTGTACAAGTCTCTTATTAGATACTTAACTACTCACAAATATTTTCTCCCCAAACACTATATATGATTCCATTTATATGAAATATCCAAAACAGGTAGATCTAGAGTGATAGAAAGTAGATTAACGATTGCCAAGGAGTGGGAGTAGGAGGAATAGAGTGGTATTGCTTATGTGTATGAGATTTCTCTTTTGGATAATGAAAATATTCTAAAATTGATTTTAGTGTTGCTTGTACAGATATGTGAATATAATAAATACCACTTAACTGTAAGTGGTCAAATTATATAGTAGGCTAATTGTTTGTTAATAAAACTGACAAAAATATACTTTTAAATTAAGGGCTCAGATGTACTGAGTAGTATAGTTTTTACTTTGCATATGTTAGGCCCCAAATGCCATCTTAAAACAATACAAAAGAAATAAACTGCATTTGTACAGCTTTTTCATATAACCTTATAAATTATTAAATATCAAAATATTTTAGTGGTTATATAATAATTTATCATAATGATGTAACAATTTATTTCACCATTCCTCTACTGCTAAATATTTAGTTTCAAATTTTCTGCCATGATAATATATAAATTTATGATAAATAGTTGTATAGATCTCTGATTGCTTTAGTAGAATACATTGTTAAAATGGGGTTAGTTACCAGATTAAAGTGTATTACATTTAAGGCTTTTACACATGTCACTAAATTGTTCTCAAAAAATGATCTGTGAATTTAAACTTTATATAAGCAGTATATAAGAACACCTGTTTCAACTTGTTCTCCAACAGTAGGCATTATAATTTGCAAAACTTGACTGATTTAATAAACAAAACTGGATATTTTACTTTGTATTAATTTGTATTTCTTTATGGTGAAGTTGAATGTTTTCATGTTTATTTTTAATTTTCATTTTATTGATTTTTTTCATATCTTTGGCCAATTTTCTTACTGTTGTGCTTTGTTTTTGCTTACTAATTTGCAAGAGCTTTCTACATTAAGGATGTTAAGTTTTCTAAGCAGTATATTTTGTAAATGTTTTCTCCAAGTGTGTCTTTTCATTTTGAAGAGCATATTATCTAGAATTGCTTTATTATTTTTGGAAAAATTATGGCAATCATTTCTTTTTATATAAAGAACTTGAAACAAAATGAAAAAATGTTGGCATGTTAATTCTAAGTTGTAAATACATGTATATTCATTTTATGTTTCATCGTTTAAAGATGAAAATTTTTCAAAAGAAAATAAAGGAAACTATATATAAAATATCTAATAATTTGGGCATGCATAACTTATTCAACTATTGTATTGATAGACATGCAAGTAGTTTTCAGTTTGTAGATTTTACAACTATCACTGTAGCATTTATAAACATTAAAAAATATTCATCTTGATAAGTTAAAAAGTTTCTTCTCCTCCTCATTCTCCCTGTGTTCCCAAACACTCTTTTATTATTATCAGAACACTACTTTGCTATTCCTACAAAACTAATCAGTTAACTTATTTGGATAGAGTCCCTTGGAAAAGGCATTACTTAAAGGCAATTTTGCTTATTTAGAGAAGCATATAAAATTATTTCATGGTTCAATATTCACGCAAGATATTCTGAAAAAAAAGTGTTACATAGTCATATAAGTTTGGCAAATAACTTATTCCACTTTTGGAGATTAAAAATATTTTAGCATATTAAGGGTCCTCACAAGTACTGCAATAAAGACAAGGGTCTATGATCTGCACAAAAGGAAGGATCCAACACTCAAATAATACTTTCAATACAACCTCCTCTTCATCAGTCACAAAACTCAATAGCATATTAAAAGGCCTGAGAATTCCTACGCTAAACAGAACACTAACATTCTGTTTATAAAATGTTTCCTGCATTTGTTCACCAGATAACTTTTACCTTTAACATCTGTGAATATGTCAAAATACTAGTGTATCAATAGAATTCCCTCAGCAAAATGTTAAAAGAAGAAAATGAGGGAGAGGAGCACAATAGATAACTGAAATCTAGATAATATTGCATACAAGTTTTCTTACCTAAACATTAAATATTTCTTCAAGGCTTTAGATAAGAAAACATTTAATTGTTTTTCTTTTTAATCTTTGATTATAAGTAAAGAAACACAGCATGATTTGAGGTTACACAGCCCTGGGTTACAATCCTATGTTAGGTACTTACTAGCTGTGTAATCTCAGGCGGGTAGTTTACACCTCTCTGCAGTTTTCTCATAAGTAAAATGGGAACGATAACATTCACCTCAGAGAGTTGATGTGAAGACTAAATGAGATAACATATTCCAAGTTCACAGCAAAAGGGCTGGCATATATGAGGTCTTATATAATATCTATACTTGTACACACGAGAAGTTCTATAAGGTAAAAAACTGAAGTTGAAGATCTAAGAACTCACAAACAGATTGAGAGGCTTCTGAATTATTGCTATCTTTTTCATGGGGAAAGAATTGAAAGTCTTAGCAGATCAGTGCTTTGAGCTTCATGGATTTTCTATAACCATAAATCTTTTAATATTGAATTACACTGAGTTTATTTACCTGTGAGCAAGAGAAGCCTGTTTTACTAGGCCAAAGAGAATCCCATGTATAAAACTGCCTACCACTGATCACAAATTAGTAGCATTTTAGGGAGTTTGGAGTGTAGGGAGGGTGCTTTTTGCCTGTTAATGGGTAAGAGTAGGTTATTAATTGACATAATAGAGACCTGCAAAAAGAAGCTATTTGTAACCTACATCATTTTAGAGACCTAGAATCCACCAACATAAGGTTTATAACTCACCTTGTGAAAGTAAATAACCTGAACAGAATGTCTGGCTGCTTTTGGATTCCCTGGCATCTTAGCACAAGTGATATAAGTGTGAGTGTGTGAGGAATAAAGGCATCTTTTTCAATACATTGCACAGGAAAATTATGTACAGAACTTCTACTTATATGTGTAACAACAGTGAAGAATTTACCATCTTGTTTCCCAGAATGAGAATTTACTCCTTTTCTAGTTCTGCTTCTAAGGCAGAACTTAGCAGTGTAGGTAGCACTGAATATGCCTCCTTCAGAATACTGACCTGTCTAAGAGATGGAGGAAATGTGAAAACTGCTATGTTTCCGTCTCGAGGGCAAGAGATGATGAGCCTTCTGGGTAATCTGTAAGATTGAAAAGTGAAGCTGGTTACGATGGTTTGAGTATTTACTTCAAAGGTTCATATGCTGAAAGCTTGGTCCTTAGTGTGGTATTGTTGAGGTGGTGGAACCATTAAGACAGGGGGTCTAGTGGAAGGTAACTAGGTCATGAGGGTGGCATACTCAGAAGGGAATGTAGTTCTCTTGGGATCTTGGTTAGTTCTTACAAGAGCAGATTGTTTTAAAGCAAGGCCACCCATGTGCTTGGTCCCTTCTACATGTGGTTATTTCTCTTTTTGTTTGTCCATCATGTTTTGATGCAGCCAGGAGTCCTTTACCATTACACTGATACCATGCAGTTTGAGCCCTGTAGCCAACTGGAACTGTGAGCCAAATAAACCTTTACTTTATAGAGTACCCAGCCTCAAGTATTTTACTATAGCAACAGAAAGTTGACAAAGACAGTGATCCCTGTGTATATATAAGTGGCTATTCATTCAGTGGCATTTTCTTCTTTCTCCAACCCTGGATGCATAAATATCTCCAAATCCATAAAGACTAGGGTGCTACATGGAAGCATTTGTAAACAGTTCTGGCATTAACTTTCTTTTTTTTTTCCATTAAGTTTATTGGTACATTTTAGGTATACATTGTGATCACATTCATCATTGGGAATTTGTACCTGTACATGATATATCTTGGTTCTTATTTTCTCCCCATTCCCTTTCCCTCTCTTTCACCCCTCCACCCCTCCCTATTTACAAAAACTTTGTTTCCATTTTTTCCTTCTTTTCTCATATTTTTTTCTTTCTCTTCTTTCCTTTCCCCTACCCACCCCTCCCTACTTCCCCTTCCCCTTTGGACCCTTTCTTCCTATTTCACATGATATATTATGCATTTTAGTCCTCATTTACACTTTCAGTTTCTTACAGCAGGGAAACTTTGGTATTTACACTGACATTCACTCTCTAAGAACAATCAGCCTGCTATGTTACAAACTAAGATTATTTTATTTATCAGAATTATCTGATCTATAACACTGGCTAGTATCTGACTTAAATAGCTGTAGTGACAGCTCAACATTATCTAAATTTAATGGAATATTTTGAGTCTTGCTACTCACAAATTACCCTGTCTTGCTGTTATTCCACTGGATGTAACTGAGATAGCTATTGTAATAATTTAGATGTTGGTGTGTTTCTAAAAAGAACAAGGTATCTAGAAAATCAATCTTTGAGATTAATAAGTAACATCATTTATGATAAAAAATGTTTTTGTTTCTGACCGTCTGCTTTTTGGAAGAGCAAAGTATACTCTGAATCATCTGGCTTAGTGTACAGATAATCACTGACTTCATACGTACTGCATGATGTGTATTTGGTACTGTGAGATAAAAAAGTTGACAGCAGGGGCCGGGGATTTAGCTCAGTGATTTTGCCACCTGCCTTGCAAGTGCAAGGACCCGAGTTCGATCCCCAGTACCAAAAAAAAAGTTGACAGCAGTCATTCCTAGTTTCTGTCTGGTACATTTTCTTCTATGAAATGAATTTTTCATTCAGAGGGTTCCCAAGAGTGAGGTCCCTCATGACCGGGGCCAACCAGCTAAGGAGGGTTACCATTGTCGTGGCAAGCTGGCAAGTTCTCATGCCATTGAGTTAACCAGGCAGATTCCAGACAAAGCTGCTTTCTTCCAGGTAGTCGAAAAGTAAAAACAGTTTTGAGAATTTTTTTTTTTTTGGTTCCGGGGATCGAACTTGGGTCCTTACATTTTCAAGACAGGTGGCATAACCACTGAGCTAAATCCCCAGCCTGGTTTTGAGAATGTTTATCTTTGGAACTATGATTGTATGGTAGGCACAACAGTCTGTCTTATCTGGAATCCCAGCTATCTTGGTCACTTTCCTTATTGCTGGGATAAAATACCCAACATCCACAATTTAAAGGGAGAGAGATTTATTTTGGCTTACAGTTTTAGAAGTTTCAGTCCCTGTTTGGCAGGCTTTAACACAGGAACAGCTTTTCTAGGTGGGAGAAAGCTGCTCCCAGTCTGGCAGCCAGGAAGCAGAGAGAAAGCAGGTGCAGGAAGAGAGATACATATATTCCAGGTCATACCCGTAACAGGAAGTTAGCTATATTGCTCCCATGATTCAATCACCTTCCTAAATCTCTACCTATGAGCTAACAAGGTCTTTGGGAAACATTCTCCATCTAAACCATAACATTTGCCTTAGGGTAGTCTTACAAATAGTGGCCAGGTCTTCAAAGGGATAATAGACAATAATCTGTCAAACAAATGGAAAAAGAGCCAACAAGTACTTAAAGATACATATCATCTCCCCTATCCAACATTTCCACCACGAAGGCACTTGACAGAGGGAAAGACGGTTCTGGAAGTGCAATTAAGTTCTGTCCTGCTGCTCCTCAGAAGTGATGCTAATTCTTTTGATGCTTCCTTGCTGAAGGCTGGCTGTCTAAAAAATTTGTAGGTGTGGTTCGACAATGAACTTTTCCAGAAGTTGATTTTTACAATTCTGCTAAATGTGTTTTTGTTGTTGTTGTTTGTTTTACTTTTTTCCATTACAACCCATTCTTGTATTTGGTACAGAACATTGCTACCAAGCAATTCTTTGAATAAAATTATGCTCTTGTGGACATTGACGTCTGAGCTGAAAAACTTGATTATCAATTTCCTTCATGACTTTACTCCCCAGGGTGAGTTCAAGCTAAAGCTGCATAGGTAGGTTCATGTAGTGAAGACTAAGTTGAAAAAATATATATATATATACTTCAAAAAGTGAACCTTGCAGAATAGAATGCATTCTATTCTAAATGGATGCATATTGAGGCCATCCTCTTAAGTGAAATAAATAGGACACATGTGTAAATACCGAATAGCTTCTCTAGTGTGAGAAACTGAAAGTGTAACTAAGGATACACATGGATGAAATTGCCTAATAACATTTCTCAGATTGTGTTTCTATCGTGTGTCATATGACTGTATCAAAATTTAAATTAGGGAGAAGTTTGGTTTATCTGGAGTCTGCTAGCTAAGTGGAATTTTTTTTTCCAGACAACTATTTGTTCAATGTTGGTTTGGGGGATTTTTCTGAAACAAATCACATCCTCTGGTGTCTTGTTGGTACTTGAGATTTTTTTTTAAGTTATATGGAAAAATGTTTAAGTGCTTTTCAGTTTTGTTTGGGTTGAGTTCTACTGTATTTGAATATTATTGTAGTTTTTTTTCCCTTGCATTGTTCTTCTTTGAATGGTTTTAATTTTTATGTGTGTGTGTTTGATAATAAAGTTATTTTTAAATAAAAAAGTGAACCTTGCAGAATTTATGAAGTCAATTCACCTTCTACCATTTGCGCTAATCCTGCTTCCCCCATCCAACATACTTTTGCTGTCTATGCAGTAGTGATTTCCCCATTATTCAATAGATGTCTACTTGAATGAAGAATGATGTCATTTTTACCTGTCTAGTCTTAGATATCTTCTTTTCCTTTAAAATTCTAAATTTCCACGTAAGCCCTTGATACTAAGTGAAGTGACTATGGAATGCATGTCTTTCTGTCCACTGGTTCTCAGAGATTGACAGTGATATATGCAAAGCCATGTTAATAGAGGCACAGTTTGTAATAGCTAAATCTTGGAAATAACCCAGTGACCATCAACTGATAAATGGATAAAGAAGATGTAGATTTTTTACACAATAGAGTACTATTTAGCCATAAAGGATAAACTTGAGACATTTCTAGGTAAATGGGTGCACCTTGAGAACATACTTCTAAGTGAAATAAATCAAGCATACATGTGTAATTATTGCATTGTCTCTCTGGTGTCAGAAATTGAAAGTGAAAATAAAGACCCAAAAGAATAATAAATATAGTGAAATAGGAAGAAATTGTTCAAAATTATACAGAATGTGAGATACTTTGTGAATACTTAAAATGTTTTAGGCAAAAAAAGGTACAGTATTATTGGAAATGAGCTGAGAGATTAGCAAATGAAAATACTTTTTAGATCATGACACACAGTGTATTTACCATTGTTATTCTCTAATCATTTTTGTTATGAAAAATTATTTTTTCATAGTATGGCTTTTATATTTTCTTTATTAATATCTACTTGTTTATATTAAAATAAAAAACAAAGGAGAAAAGGAGGCTTACCACATAACGTACAGAAATG